AATAAAATAAAATAGAATGACAGCACTCTAGAATGGTTATTGTCTTCTCCTGGAGCCAAATTATCATTCTGGCCTTGGAAGCAGGTGTTGAGCAACTTGCCTCTGCTAGATATGAAGCCTGATGTGAGCAAACACATTAGGGCTTATGATGCTGATGAGGGACAAATGACCCCTGGTGTATGGTGATAGGGAGGTCACATTTAAATCTCAGTGTCTTGGAATCATTCTGCGTGTCTCTAAGCCTTGGTTCTCAAAACGCAAGAATATAAAAAATTAACTGATGAGTGCTTACTAAAAATTCACACTTATGGTCCTCCCTCTGATGATTGATTCAGTAGATCTGAAGTGGGTCCCAAGAACCTGCATTTAATTAACTGCACTAGCTGTTTTTGACACTGGTTGCCACCCAAGTTAGTTTTTCAAGGTGGTGGGGTTTCAAGCAGCAGCTCATCATTCATTGGCTATTTATTGAGTGTTAATTAGGTACAAAGCATTATAGAGGATGTGGCCCTTGCTCACCATGGGTTTATCACTGAGAGGCTAAATAAGACTTGTATACAGACAGGATAACAGCTGCTGGTTCTTTTGTTTAAAGTCAAACTGCTGCTTGCTTCTTCTTTGTTTCCATTTCACTCTATATAAGCCTCACAGAATGATTTATGGACTTGTCTCTCTCCCAGTTTGTGTATTTCTTGAGGGCAAGTAAACTTCACTGATGACCAATAGCAATTTTGTTCCATCATCTTTTCTTATTCTTATAACTTTGGTTTTGGTTATAACTCCAACCCTTATTCTTATAACTTTGGTTTTGGTTATAATTGCCCTTGTGACAATCTCTTGCTTGAGGCACTGCATGTTAGGAAATGGTTTGTCTTCATAGGACTTATTGGACATGCTCTCTTATGTTACTGCTACCATACCATTCTCCTTGTCTTCTGTCCATCCTGATGACCTAGAAGAGATAGCAAAGATCACACATGCTCTATTGGCTTTGGTTCTTACAGCAGGGAACACACGTCTGAGGCTAGTGGGCATGTGAGTGGGTGGCAAGTGAGTCTTTTTTTTTTTTTTTTTTTACAAATAGTTTATTATCAAATTAGTTTCTACATAACACTCAGTGCTCATCCCCAAAGTGCCCTCCTTCATGCCCATCCCCCCCTCCCCCCCACATCCATCAGTCCTCAGTTTTTGTCAGCATTCAAGAGTCTCTCATGGTTTGCCTCTCTCCCTTTCCCCCACCATTTCCGCCCTTCTTCTCCCCCTTGGTCCTCCGTCAAGTTCCTCCTAATCCTCCTATACGTGCAAACATATGGTATTTGTCCTTCTCTGCCTGACTTATTTCGCTCAGCATAACCCCCTCAAGGTCCATCCATGTTGCTACACATGGCCAGATTTCATTGTTTCTCATTGCCATGTAGTATTCCATGGTATAGATAAACCACATCTTCTTGATCCATTCGTCTGTTGATGGACACTTAGGCTCTTTCCATGTTTTAGCTATTGTGGAGAGTGCTGCTATGAACATTGGGGTACATGTGCTCCTATGCCTCAGCATTTCTGTATCCCTTGGGTAAATTCCTAGCAGTGCTATTGCTGGGTCATAAGGGAGTTCTATTGTTAGTTTCCTGAGGAACCTCCACACTGTTTTCCAGAGGGGCTGTACCAGTTTACATTCCCACCAACAGTGTAGGAGGGTGCCCGTTTCTCCACATCCTCGCCAGCATCTAGAGTTCTCTGATTTGCTCATTTTAGCCACTCTGACTGGCGTGAGGTGGTATCTCAGTGTGGTTTTGATTTGTATTTCCCTGATGAGGAGGGATGCTGAGCATCGTTTCATGTGTCTGTTGGCCATCTGGATGTCCTCTTTGGAGAAGTGTCTGTTCATGTCTTCTGCCCATTTCTTCACTGGGTTGTTTGTTTTTCGGGCGTGTATTTTGGTGAGTTCCTTATAGATTCTGGATATTAACCCTTTATCTGATATGTCATGGCAAGTGAGTCTTATTGGGAACTACTTTGTGTCACAATGTTTGGACAGGAAGTAGGATTTCAAAAGGGTGTGGCCCCAAGACTTACATTAATGCAAGCATTGTGACATATTCTGAAGGTTTATCTGCTGCCTTCATGCTGGAAAACATAAACACATTGGTTTAGTCTCTAAGGAGGAAGAGTAGGTTTAGACTGGTCAGTATCTGCTTTTCCTCCTTGAGGCTGGAACCACTATAAATTCTCGAGGGAAGAGAACTGAGCTGGACCTCACATTGAGGAAAGTGTAAAGGTAAGGATAATTCAACTAAGAAAACTCATTTGAAATAGTTGAAATTTCATATGGAATAATAGAGAGCTGTAGAGCTACAAATGCCTGTATACACTTTGCTTTAAGTGTTAAAGCAAATGGTAAAGCAAAGTTCAAGATATAGTTCAGATTGGTTTAGTGTATTGTGATTTACAAATGTACCTTGAAATGAATCACAAATTAAGATTTAGGAATACTATATTTTGCTGGTGGTAAGATGAAATTTTACTTTTCCCCAATGGTATTCATTTTATATTGAGGTTAGTATTTGGTTGAGATTCCTCTAAGAAAACTGTAGAATTTCATTCTGTGAGCTATTTTGAGTTCTCTCCTCTTTCTGTGCACAGAAAGTTGATTGGTCTGTGATTTTTGGGGCTGTAACACTGGGAATTAACATTTGACACCTAAGTTAGATCTTGGGATTTGTCCAATATTATCTCTTAGTGCTAGAGTTTAAAAATATTTCCCTTTAGGGTGGCAAGTGAATGTGTAAGTTTGGGGCACAGTGAGAGAAAAAGAGGCCAAAAAGCGTGTCGGGAGTCATTGCTTGTTATTAGCCCAGAGGATGATGTTTGGTTGTCATTAGGAACAGAGTTTTGTTTTCTATTTGTTTGTTTGTTCATTTGTTTTGTTTTGTTTTTTCTTTCGGAGGGAGGAGAAGTATGAATTTTTAGGATGAATTGCAGCTGGGAACCAGTGATTGAATCTTGCTGCCCACCACTTTAGGCCTGGACAAACTACTTTCTCCATGGGATTATAAGTGGCAAGATCAGTCAGGGAGGATATTGAGGAAGAGCCTTTTTGTTTCCTATTCTGGTGATTCCCCTGAGGTTTCTGCTGGTTGTCTGACAAGTATGATTTGTTTGTGGATGAGAAAAGCCCTGTGTTTTCCTTCCAAGGGGGATGTGTCTGATCTTTGGATTTAAACGGAATCAAACTCTGGACTACTTGGCTTTCACACACAGTAAATTGCAATTTCAGGTGATAGTAAAACAGAGAACAAAAGATATATTTATGGATAATGGTGTTCTAGGAGATCACAGTGAAGTGATATTTGAGGATTTGAGCAGTTTTTTCTCCCTACAATGGAAGTGAAGTAAAATGAATACTATTTTCATTGACAGGAGCAACTTGGTCTGTTGAGTCTGAGCAAGCCTGCTTTGACTTCTTTTTGTTTGAGGTTTCTTTTTTTAATGTTTGTTTTTTTATTTTGAGAGACAGTGCAAGCAGGGGAGGTGCAGAAAGAGAGAGAGAGAGAGAAACCGAAGCAGGCTCTGCATTGTTAGTGTAGAGTGTGACATGGGGCTTGATGTGGAGCTTGATCTTATGAACCTCAAGATCATGACCTGAACTGAAATCAAGAGTCAGACACTTAACTGACTGAGCTGCCCAGGCACCCCTTGTCTGAGCTTTTTTTTTTTTTAAACAAAGAACCATTGAACCATCACATTGTTTTGGATTAAAAGGCTAAAGATACAGAAGTTCTAACCCTGAGGAAGGGGCAATGCCTCATTTCTTCCCTACCCTGACCACCTCATATCCCTCTTCAAAAACCATCTACTCCTCATTGCGATCCTATTACATCCCAGTGACTGTGCTGAGATATATTGGTTTACTCAGCTTTTGGGGCAGTGGGAACCTATTATAATGATGGTTATGGAGGTAGATCAGGAAAATTATTTGGCCAGAGCCACATATTGAAGAAGGGCCCCAAATTTAAATTTTCATGTTATCTCCAACATTGGCAATATATTATGCATGCACGTTGAAGGTATTGGTTAGGTAACTCTAAACATTGAAAAGCAACCATGGTTTCTATAACTCTGTTTCGGCATTTTCTTCCTTTTAAAATCTATCAGGTTCAGGGCATCAAAAAATGGAGGGTAGTCCAAGTTCCTATCCTCTGAGAGGCCTCAGTTGCCCACTGGACAGACTCTCATATTGATGGACATAGAGGCTTATGAAGAGGACAGATCTTCAATAACTAATCACACAAAGAATTCATTTAAAATAAGAAATGTACCTTGAAAAGGTATAAGGAGGCCTTATCCTGTTTGAGCCATCAGAGAGGATTTCCCCAAGCAGATAAAATTGAAAGAGCAAGAGGAGTCAGTCAAATTTGAGGCAGGGGTCAGTTGATGCAAGACAGTACAAGCAATAGGTCTTAATAACCTATTAATTTTCAGAGACATAGGTGGACTCTAGGATGGTTTTCGTATTTTGAGTTTGGACAAGTGAGTGAATGGTGGTGGCGTTAACAAAGCAAGTGACTGGGGGAAAATTATTTTCTGGTAGTGGGTGGGTAGATAAGATGATTAGTTCAATTTGTGGGTGTTTGAGTGTGAGTGAGCTTTGAGACATCAGAATAGAGATGTTCATAAATATATGATCATATATTATAAGAAGGGCTTAGTTACTCTTGTTAATTTAGAACTTAATAGTGTATACGATGCTGTCCAGGTTCAATGGGTGAGTAGAAAGAATATATTTGTGGTCCCTGCTTTCAAGAAGCATATTCTTTAAATGTAGTCAAGGAATTAAATAACCACAAAGGATTCTAGGAACCCTCTAAGACAGCAGCAGGAGAAATGTTATAAGCAGTACACAAACGATTGCCAAGAGAATTTTATAGATGCTTGTTGCTTTACAGCATTTAGTATCCAAGTAGAATTTCTCATTTGATTTTACTTTTGTTCTACTTTGGTAGTGTGGGCTCAGTTGAGGATGACATGATCTTGTTTAATACCACTGTGGATTATTTGCTTTGGAGTAGCTCATTTTAATTTTAGGAGGTAGGTACTATTACATTTGTATCATTTTACAGAAGAGGAAACAGGTACTGGAAAGTTAAATAACTTGCCCAAGTCATGTAGCTAGTAAGTAGTAAAGTTGGGATTTAGATCTAGTCAGTCTGAATCCAAAGCCCCTTCTTGTTTTAAAAATGCTATTTTTTTCACTAAACATATCCCCTATCACTTAAGTTATTTAAAAACTGTTGGTGGCTGCAAATTTTTTTAAGCATTCTCCTGATTTTAGACGTATGTATGTTGTAAATGGTGCCTGTATCTTTAGGATAGTTTCTTTTTTTTTTTTTTTTTAATAATTGAGCGGCTTTCAATCTTTTTTTTTTTTAATATTTTTATTTATTTCTAGGAGAGAGAGAGACAGCATGAGCAGGGGAGGGTCAGAGAGAGAGGGAGATACAGACTCTGAAATAGGCTCCAGGCTCTGAGCTGGCAGTCAGCACAGAGCCCGACGCGGGGCTCGAACCCACGAACCGCGAGATCATGACCTAAGCGAAAGTCGGACGCTCAACCGACTAAGCCACCCAGGTGCCCCTAGAATAACTTCTTGAAATGGGTTTCCTGTACCAAGGAATATAAAACCTTTAAGTCTTCTTAAAACATATAACAAATAACAAATAAACATATAACATAAAACAAATAACAAATTCTTCTGCAGAAAAGTACAAATAATTTACAGTCTGGATGTATTTTTCAATCCACATAAAAGTATTTTTTTCAATCCTACATGGCTGAATAAGTCAAGACAATCAGGAGAATTCAGTAATGCTGCTAAAGATGGTGTTTAGGATAATGAATCACAGGATGTTCTAGCAGAAAGGAACTCCAGGTGTCATCTAGGCCACCTCCTTCTTTATTATGAACCAAGGCTCAGAGAGGTTAAGGGACACTCACCAAACCACACCACTAATTAGAGTCACAGTTAGGACAAGAACGAGTAGTTAGCATTATATGATATACAGTTGACCTTGAACAATGTGGGGGTTAAGAGCACCAACCCCCTGCACAGTTGAAAATCCCTCGTCTCCCCCACAACTGAACTACTAATAGCCTACTGTTGACCAGAAGCCTTACTGATAATATAAACAGTCAACTAACACATATTTTGTATGCTATATATATACTATATATTCTATTATTACAATAAAGTAGGCCAAAGGAAAGAAAATGTTATTAAGAAAATTATGAGAAAGAGAAAAATGCATTTATAGTACTGTGCTGTAAAAAAAAAATGTGCATATAAATGGACCCAAGCTGTTAAACTCTGTGTTGTTCAAGAGTCAACTATATTGAGTTAGAGTCTCTTTGATGGTTTAGATGATTCAGGGGTGTGCAAAATACCCATCTGGGGCCTTGACTAGAAATTTAAGAGACTCTGATTGTTGGAGTCAGGTCCAGAGTTCCCCCTTGAAACTTCACAGTTGTGTCAGAAGGATATGGAAGTAACCCAAAGGGCTCTTCCCTGAATTGAGATGCCTATTACCCACTCAAGGAGATAAAGTACTCTGTTGGGCCAGGGGAAACCTGAAATCTCCTTTCATTAGTTCTCCCACATCTGGCCTACTGTCAGATTCATAAAGACGATTCTAAACTCTCTCTCTGTTATTCTGTTGCTGGTACAATGGATTTCAAAAAAAGACTGCTTATATAATTCAAGACTGATCTTCTATAGCATTGACCAAAACTGGAGGATATTTCTTTTTATTATTTGCTGCATTTTGTAAACAGAATTTACAATTTGACTTGCCTTAGTATCCATCTGGATAGGCTGAGTTAAGCTATTAAGCCCCAAAGCTTCAATAACTTAGCAGAATTAAGGGTTGTTTCTGGAAAAAAACTGAAACAAGCTTGTTGGTCATCTGCTATGTTGCAGATATGCCATGCCAGGGTTGCCAAAGCAGGAGAAAGGAGAGTTAAAGACTCTTAACTCACTCAGCCTGGAAATGACAAATGCCATAGTCCATTGACCACAACTAGAAGCGGTTTTTTAAAAAAATGTTAACATTTATTCATTTTTTAGAGATGGAGAGGGACAGAGCATGAGTGGGGGAGGGGCAGAGAGAGAGGGAAACACAGAATCTGAAGCAGGCTCCAGGCTCTGAGCTGTCAGCACAGAGGCTGATGTGGGGTTTGAACCCACAGACTGAGATCACCACCCAAGCTGATGTCGGATGCTTAACTGACTGAGCCACCCGGGCGCCCCTAGAAGCATGGTTTTGATTCAACTGGAGGAGAGTCTGGGAGGAACACATGGATATTTGATGAACACTAATGGTCTCTTTCAAATACTTGATGCTTGATACTTTGAAATTACTTACTTAAAAAAATTATAGGCAATTTTATATAATTTCAAGTTTTAAACATATAGGTAAAACATTCATATTACTTTCCTCCAAATATGCTTCAAGTGTAACTATATAGTGTAGCACATGCTTTTTTTTTAGTTTATTTATTTATTTTGGGGGTGAGTGCAGAAGGACAGAGAGGGAGAGAAAGAGTCCTAAGCAGGCTCCGTGCCATCAGTGCAGAGCCCAATGTCAGGCTCAAACTCAGGAACCATGAGATCATGACCAGAGCTGAAATCAAGAGTTGAATGTTTAACTGACTGAGCCACCTGGCTGCCCCGCATGCTATTTTTTAAGAAATCCTTTTGAGTTCCCTATTAAAAACAACAAAACTCTTGCTTGATAGTTGTGCGATTTGGGCAAGTCGCTTAACTCTCTAAATCTGTATCCCAGTTGAAAATGAGATAATAATTATCATTCGTGGGTATGTTGTAAAAATTAGGGTAGAGATTGCATGCTAAACACTTGACACCGTGCCTAGCACAAAATACAAGTGTTCCATGAATATGGATTTTCTTTTTGTTGGTATTGTTGATATTGCAGTGAACCTACTACTGTTGACAGTAATACTGAATCCTCTGACTCAGTGGTGTATCTATAATCATCTGAAAGTCATGTATTTTATGAGAACAAGCGATGTTTTGGTCAAGTTCTGGAAACAAAGTGTCTTCATCTTCTATATGTTCTCATCTTGGCAGACATGGGGAGTTTCAGAGGCCATGCCCTCCCCGGAACCTTCTTCATTATCATCGGTATTTGGTGGGCCATAAAGTACACTCTGAAGTATGCCTGCAAAAAGCACAAACGGACTTCCTATCTTGGTTCCAAAGCATTATTCCATCGAATAGAAGTTGTGGAGGGAATTGTAATAGTGTGCATGGCTTTAACTGGTGAGTGGACCATTTCTGTGTTCTGTTTTCTCCTTTTGGGTATTTCTACACACAAAGAGAAAATTAAACATCAAATTAAAAAATTGCTAAAATGATTTTTTATTAAAAAATATCCCTGAACACATATTCTAATTATAATTTCTATCTGATATAATTTGTTAGAAGGTTTATTCGTGTTTATACAAAGGCCTATTCCTAAATGAGTTGGTCATAGTAATTAACTTGCCTGCCCACTCAAGGTGAATTTCCTCATAGAATTAGTTGGAACCTCTGAAATTATTTTATTTTACTTTATTTATTTTCTTTTATTTCGTTTCATTTCATTTTATGAGAAAGAGAGCACGAGCAGGGGAAAAGGGCAAGGGGGGAGGAAGGAAGGAGGAGAGAGAAAGAGAGAGAAAGAGAGAGAGAGAGAGAAGATCTTAAGCAGGCTCCACACTCAGCACAGAGCCTGATGTGGGGCTTGATCCCATAACACTGAAATCATGATCTGAGCCAGAATCAAACCAGGTACCCCTGAAATGATTTTATATCATTTATTCTGAAGCCTGAAAGAATAAAATTTATCAGAAAATCAGAAACCATTTTTCATTTTTTTAAAATTTTATTTATGTCTAGGAGAGAGAGAGAGACAGCGTGAGCAGGGGAGGGTCAGAGAGAGAAGGAGATACAGACTCTGAAATAGGCTCCAGGCTCTGAGCTGGCTGTTAGCACAGAGCCCGACATGGGGCCTGAACCCACAAACCGCGAGATCATGACCTAAGCGAAAGTCGGACGCTTAACCGACTAAGCCACCCAGGCGCCCCTCAGAAACATTTTTCAAAATGACACAAAAATAATCAAGTGATTATGGGAAAGCTTCAACATAAGTTGTTGCTGTTGGACTGTACAGAGAGGTCAGGCTGAAGAAAACCTTGCTTCATGCACTTTCGTCCTTTTTTGTGTGTTTCCTAAGTTGAAAAGGGACGTTAGGCCAGACGAATTCTAAGGTCTTTCCATTGATTATAAGATTCTGTGAACATTTTCTGTGGTTTTAGAATTCCACTGCAGCTTCTCCTTTGTGAAAGGCATAACGTTCTCATTTTCCTTTGGATTTCTTCATGCTTTATTCATGGCACTAGGTCTTTTCTATGGCCATCAAATTATAGAGCAACCATTTCCAAAGAGGAGAATTGCGATGTCAAAGTCCATAGGTTAACACATAACATATCATCTTTAGGAAAGTGTAACTATATGTGTAAGAGACTAGACCATGTGCTATAATCAGTCTGTGTTTTGTCATTTATCCTTAATTGGGGAAAAGCTGAACTCCAGTATTTTTATTCTGAGCCAAGCACAACTCCCCACTTAGTGGCAGCTACCCAAAGATGTAACATGTATCAGAAGGAAGTAGTTGGCCTTTGTAGGACTGAGTTCACAAATCCAAACCCCACATCGTTCAGGACTTATCTAATCATTAGGTGAAAACAGGAACTAAGACCGTCAGTGGAACTGATCATGGAACTAAGTGGAACTGAAATGATTGGCTTTGAAGATCTGAAATAAACAGCTGTTTGACTAAATTGGTTATCTTTGGCTACAAATTGATCATCCAAGCCAGTTTTTGAACCTCTAAAACCAGCCTAAAGCTGGTTTCCTAACAGTGCTTAGCAGTTAGGAAAAAAAACAGAAAGAATAATCAGCATCATAAAAGGACAATTTAACTAAGCCAATGGGCTTTCCTCTTGTATCTTCCTGCTTTCTCTGTGAAGTTATGGGGAGGGTTGCTAAAACTGTGATATGTTCCTTTGCAGGCACGCTTGGAGAGCAGTTTGTTGATGAAGGCCCCCACTTGTCCTTATATAACTATAAAGAGGGCCAGTGGGTCCAACTCCTGAGCTGGCATCATTCCACCATGTATTTCTTCTTCGGGCTGGTGGGTGTGGTGAACATCTTACGTTTAATCACCAATTCGCTTCCCATCTCCTTAACCAAATTGCTGTTGTCAAATGCCTTATTTGTGGAGGGTAAGTATAAGTGAGTACTTTCCCGTACCTTTCACTATCATTGGACATTTGTCTAGCCCTAAAGAAACAATAACATTCCTTTAGTGTCCTGGTACCGCCTTGATCTATTGGGCCATCTGTTTGGGCCATGGTGAGATAGTCAGATGTCCTACGCTGGATGTCAAGAATTTTCCTTCCTTCCTGACTCAAATAGCACAGTAGGACAAGTACAATCATTCAGTGTGCTTTATTCACATTTTATGTCATTCTTAAAGAACACCTACCATGGTTATTTATCTCTAGGTTTTCCTGGAGGCTATCATTATTTCCATTTTTAACAAATGAAACTGAACTTAAGTAAAGCGTGAATATCCTGAAGTAAGGGGACCACTCACAGCAACCTGCTAACCTTACTAATTAGCTTTTTTCATATTGGTACAGTAAAACTCCACCATCACATAATAAGTAGGGTCAAAAAATCAGTCACATGCAAATAGGAGGACTTTTTTTGAGAGATTAATGAGAAACATTTTTTGTTCAGTTGATGTCCCTGTTACTGTGTAAGGAAACAGTGAAAACAAGTGTTTAGTGATTTGTTTTCATTTGTTATATTTATAAGAAATAGATTGATTATAGGACTAAAAAAATCCCCAAATTATCAGGAGGTAGTAATTTCCTAACTGTCCACCTTCCTTCCCACATCTGAGCATGAGGACTTTTGCCTACCCCTCCATGAGAACAAAGGCTAACTAAAAGATGGGCTTCAACAACCAACAGCGTGATTCTCATTATCTCAGGGTGTTACCATATTTTGACTGTACATCTCTTCTTCCTCCTGAAGATAAAGCTGAAATCTCTTCATGGGATTAAAAAACATAGGTAGTTACTACTTCTTGGGAGCTTCCAGAGCATCTTGTCATACCCATCAAAGTCCATTCTTAGGATTTGTGTATTTATTTGCTTACTCCAATGGACTGAATTCCTTAAGGCAAGGATTTGTTTAATTCATCTGTGTATTCACCGTAACTCTTGCTCCCCTGCCTCCATCACACTTATTTTTCATCCTCCTGCATAGAAGATGCTTTGAAATATAGTTAGTTGAAAATGTCATGATATGTTAGACAAGGAAATAAAGGTTAGGAAAAGGAAAAGGAGCGTTAGATTTCCATTCTTAAGAGTTAGTGAGAACTCCAAAAATACTAGAGGGTTCCATTATTGTGGGAAGCAGAGAGCGCTTGTTATTTCGGACAGATTTGTGTATGTGTACGTGCATATATGTGCGAAAGTGTAAAATTCTGTGTGGGGGGGAATCACAGAGAGAGAGAGAAAGAAGAAAGAGAGAGATGGTGGGTGTCCCTTGGTTTCATTGAAAAAGGCAAACTATTTTTTCCTTCTCTATCAGCTTTTATCTTGTACAACCACACTCATGGCCGGGAAATGCTGGACATCTTTGTGCATCAGCTGCTGGTCCTGGCTGTCTTTGTGGCAGGCCTGATTGCCTTCTTGGAGTTCCTTTTAAGGAACAATGTCACTGTGGAGCTTCTTCGGACAACCTTTATCCTGCTCCAGGGGAGCTGGTTCTGGCAGGTGAGTTGGGGCCTCCAGTTAATGTATCTGGTGTTTGCACCTGTAATCTTCTCGCTTTGGGGGGATATTTTGCTCTGTAACCCAGAGACTTCCTTATAATGTGCTGCCTGTAGAGAGAATGTGAGTCTTTGAGAGTTGATGTTTCTTTGAGTAGCCCAGACGTCCTGGTGGGAGTGCTAACAGAGCAGTGAGGAAGGAAGTAGGTTGTGTTCATCCTCATCACACACCTGAATGTCTAATGTAGGAATTCCGAGCCATTGCTTTTGGTTGGCAGCAGTTCCTAATACTGAACCTTCTTACCTTGTAATGAGTAATAAGCTTTAGAAATATAGGAAAGGCAGGAAAGAGAGGAAACTATTATTTATTGAGAAACATCCATTAGCCAGCCACTCTAGAGGATTTTTTACATACATTTGTTTCATTTTGTCCTCAAAGTGACCTGGAAGTTAGGTATTATCATACTCAATTTACTGATATGACTCAGTGAGACCAAGTTACTATCCCAGGCTCACAGAGTAATGCAACTAAGATCTAAATGTGGGCCTGTCTGACGCCCATGTCCTAGAGCCTTTCCATTTTACTCTGTTGACTACCTAAACTTGGTGTGTTGTCAAAAATATGTATTCCAATCAGTGAGCATACATTTTGTAGAGACTGATAAATTGTACTCTAATATGCATATGTAGATGTAAAGAAAGTCTGGGATGAAAGGGGAGTGTGGCTTAATTGGGGATGACTTCTTAAAGGAGATGTTTAGTTGCCAGAGATCAGGAACTTAGGATGATGTTACTGCAGCGATTTGAATTTCATGTGAGGAGTGATAAGAAAGCATTGGTAAGTGACAAGGAGACATCATGGTGAAAATGGGGTAGGAAAGCTGTGATATTTAAGCAAAAGTGAGAGTAGAAAGGCTGTGGGGAGCAAAGGCAGGTAAAGAATGGATATATTCAAGGGTTATTTTGAAGGAAAAATGATATAGAAGAACAAATATCCTATAATGTGATGAAATTGGTGAATTTAACCAGTTTATAAATGAAAGTTGTTCTCTTATATTATCACTTTCTGAAAACCTAAATAAAGTGGTATGTAAAACACTATTATGGATTCTGTATCTTCTAATTGTAATGTTTTACCACATGTATGCATTGCCTATGCGAAAAAAAGAAAACTTTCAAAATTTTCAAAAAAGCTAATTTGTGGTCAGGATGACACAACGAGTTTATATGTCAGTGTATCTCCTCTGCTCCAGACACATAATAATGACAGATAAAATTTTAAAAATACTGTAAAAAAAAAAAACTAAAAGAAGAAAAAATAAACAAAAAGTTAAAAAATGACCTAGCTGCAATTAAACGACACAAACAGAAACAGGGCAAGCCACCTACCTTGTGGGCCAGACCAGAACAGCACTGTATACTGGGAGTCAAGCTGGGTGGCAGGACTGTGGGCTCCAGTGAAACCAAGAGCAAATGAAAGGGTTCCTCTCAAGGTGGGAGGTGAAGCCAGGCTCTTGGAACTCTAATTGTACTGTGTATACTTTCTATATTCCTGTTTGCTTTTCATCTTATTGTCTATTTCATAACAGTCTGCTAAAGTTGCATATAATAGTTCTAGATTTGTCAATTTCTCCTTATTTTGAGTTTTTGCTTTAATGTTATGAGGCTCTGTATTGTACTTCTCATTTTCTAGGGGTTTTTTTAAATTGAATGTTCACTTTCTTTCAGTCTTTCCTGTTTTTAAATAAATATGTCTCCAGCTATAGATTTCCTTCTACACACTACTATAGCTACCTCCCGTAAGATTTGATGTGTGGTAGCTTTCACTCTTGGGAAATTTTGAATGTTGCATTTTCCATGTGCTTTCCTCTTTAATTTTTTGAGTTAACTAGGAGTACACTTTTAACTGTCCAAAAATGTTATATTTATTTTTATGATTCAGTTTCAATTTAATTACTTTGTAGTCATAGAATGTGTTGTCTTTGAAATGCGTTGTGTTGAGGCTTCCTTTGGAACAGCGTCAGTAGTAATAAATGTTCCATGTATTTGAAAGAAAGTATATTCTGTCTTCGTTGAGTTCAGGATTCTACATACATTTATTAAATCAAGTTTGTTAAAGAGCTAACTATTTAAATAAAGAAAGTAGAAAGTAATAATAAAAGAAGAGACCCAAGGAAAGTAAAAAAAAAAAAAAAGGAATAATAAAGGTAAGAGCAGAATTAATGAAATTGATTAGTGTTCCATTAATCATTAATGATTCATTAAGGGTCTGAGGGAGGAAGCATTGGCTGTCATAACTGAGAATAGGCTGATCTAATGTTGTCCCTTTTGGCAGACAAATATGTCTTTTTTCATATTTTTCCAAAAGCTTTCCTAGGAAAGAGCTATGAGGTTCAAATTTTGGGGTGTAAATCTATGACTACTTAAAAATCATTTCCATCTATCAGTATGTCTAGACTAGTTTCTTTTTTTGCCTGGTGGCCAGACTAAATAACATTTGGAGGCTTAAAGAAAAATGAGCATTTAATACCAATGCAAACACACACACTGACAGGAAATGAAGGCTTAGCCATAGTACCTCTTTCTATCCTCAGATGACTCCAAAACAAAAATGTCTAGAGACTTAGGTGAATTTATTATGCTCTTATTTTGATGCTTTGTGTGGTGTATGAAGGTTTATGGCCCAAACTGTCTTAAGCTAATCATATGACATTGTGATTTGCTTTTCACCGTACTTTTTCTCTCTCTACTTCTCCATAGGTAGGTAATACTAGCACATAAACAATGTATAGACATATTAGCGAATCTAGACTCTTGGGCCCATACGTAAGAAGATCTGAAATAAATGAGGCAAATGTTCATATTGTATGAGCTGGGATTTGAAAGATGGATGAAAAGCCACCAATGTGCCCAGGCTTCAGGTTTAGGATAAGTTATATTCCTTTGCTTATTTTGGTCTTACCTCTTGTATTAGTTTCTTTCCTTTTTTTAAAGTTTATTTTTATTTATTTTGAGAGGGGGCAAGAGAGGGAGCAAGCAGGGGAGGGGCAGAGAGAGAGGGAGACAGAATCCCACGCAGGCTCTGTGCTGTCAGTGCAGACTCGACATGGGGCTCAAATTCACGAACTGTGAGATTATGACCTGAGTCGAAACCAAGAGTCAGACGCTTAACCAACTGAGCCACCCAGATGCCCCAGCTCCTGTATTAGTTTCTTAGGGCTACAAAAGCAAAGTCCCAAAGACTGGATGACTTAAAACAATGGAAAGTTATTCTTTCACTGTTCTGGAGGCCAGACATCCCAAAATCAAGGTGTCAGCATGCTGGTTTCTTCTTGAGGGCCCAACGGGAGACGCTGTCCTATGCCACTGCCCTAGAGAGTTGTCAGCAATCCTTGACATTCCTAGGTTTATGACAGCATAACTGCAACCTCTGCCTCCATAGTCACACCTGTGTGTCTCTTTGTACCTGTGTCTTCACATGGCCTTCCATTATAAGGACAACAGTCATTGGATTTAGGGCCAATTCTAATCCAGTATGACCTTATCTTAACTTGATAGCATCTGAAAAGAACCTATTTCCAAATAAGGTCACATTCACAGGCACCCAGTATTGGGACATCAACATGTCCTTTTGGAGGACACAGTTCAACCCACAACAACTGCTAACCCTTACCTCTGGGAGCTATAGCAAATCACTCCCCAAGTAGAGGTAGGTGGGTGGATGGCACTGGAAGGACATTGGTGGGACAAATAGAAATTGTGGAGCTAGTCCATAGTTCATTACACTCAACTGTCCCCTAAAAAACCCTTCCTCGACACAGAATTTCTCTATTATCTTCCATTAGTTGCTGCAAAAGAAGGGCATGAAAAGCAGGGGTCAATGATATCTTCTTAGGATTATTATGAGGACTGAAGATAATTGTGAAGTTCACATTCATGAGTGAAGTTAAGGTGCCTAACACATAGTGGTACACATACCAAGTGGTGCAAATGTTAACTCTCTTTCCAACTAAAGGGAATCCTTTAAAATGGGAAATGGGAACAAGTGATTAAGGCCCAAATCTTGGTTTTTCCTGATTTACTCAGACTATGTGAAATTTCATACAGAATGAAATTAAACGTTCACTCAATATTATGGATTAAATGCTTTTTTTGTTCCTGTAAGATTTCATTCATTAGAGGTATAATCCTGGGCAAATTACAAAACCACCCAATTTTCTCATCTGGGTGATGAAGATGAGAAAATTAAAATGGGATTATAATACATCATTTCAGAACCATTGTAAGGGAAACTCCCAAACACCACAACTGACACATAGTTAGCCAATATATGGTAGACATTTGTCCAATTATCCATGTAGGTATCTTATTATTGTATTTTATTTATCTCTAGAGGCCTGACATATGTCCATCCCTCCATCCCCCCATCTGTCCATCATCTATCCAAGTCCATCTATTTATCATTTATCCATTTATCTATTTATCTATCTCTCTACCTATCATCTACCTATCTATATTCTCTATCTATCATCTTATTTTCCATTGGGAAAAAATTTACATAACATAGAATTAACCATTTTAAAGTGTATAATATGGTGCCATTTAAGTACATTCACAATATTGTTCAATTCTCACCTTTATTTAGTTCTAAAACATTTTCATCACCCCAAAAGGAAACCTTGGAATAATTCAGAAGCCATTCTCTTTCATTCTCCTCCTAACCCCTGATAACCCTAATTTGCTTTTTCTTTCTGTGGATTTACCTATCCTGGATATTTCGTGTAAACAGAATCATACAATATATGACCTTTTGTGTCTGGCTTCTTTTCCTTTAAAATAATGTTTTCAAGATTCATCTATGCTGTATCATGTATTAGTCAATCATAACTTTTTATGGCTTAATAATATTCCATTGTATAGATATACCATATTTTGTTTAATTCACCATCAGTTGATGGACATTTGGGTTGTTTTCCCAAACAACTTTTGACTATTGTGAGTAATGCTGCTATGAATATTTGTTTATAAGTTTTTGTTCGAATACTTGTTTTCAGTTCTTTTGGGTATATACTTAGGAAGAACATGTGATAATTAATTCTATATTTAGCTTTTTGAGAAACTGTCAAATTGTTTTCCACAATGACTGTACCATTTTATATTCTTATCAACAATTTATAAGGAATCCAACTTCTCCATAATTTTTCTAACACTTGTTATTATTGTTGTTATTACCATCCTAGTGGGTGTGAAGGGTTATCTCATTGTGGTTTTGATTTGCATTTCTCTAATAACAATGTTCATCATTTTTTTCATGAGTTTATTGACCATTTGTATACCTATTTTTGGAGAAATGTCTCTTCAACTCCTTTGCCCATTTAAAAAATACGTATTTTTTTGTCTTGTAGTTGTTGAGCTTTAGGAGGTCTTTATACATTCTAGATATTGACTCCTTATTAGGTATATGATTCAGCAGTGTTTTATCCCGTGTTTTGGGCTGTCTTTTCATTTTCTTTCTTTTTTTTTAAGTTAATTTATCCATTTTGAGAGAGAGACATAGAGAGTGAGCAGGGAGAGTGAGCTCCACACTGTCAGCATGGAGCCTGATGTGGGAATGAAGCCCATGACCCATGAGATCATGGCCTGAACTGAAACCAAGAGCTGGACGCTTAACTGACTGAGCCACCCAGGAGCCCCTGTCTTTTCATTTTCTTGAAAGTGTCCTTTGACAAAAGTTTAATTTTGGTGAAGTTCAATTTATGTTTTTTTTCTTTGGTTGATTGTACTTTTAGTGTAATACCTTAGAAGTCATGACCAATCCCAGGTCATGAAGATTTCCCCCTACGTTTCTTCTAAGAGTTTTATGGTTTTACTTCTTATAGTTAGTCTTTGACCAATTTTGAATTAATTTTTGTATGTGGTGTGAGGTAAGGGTCCAAATTCATTCTTTTGTATGAGGATGTCCAGTTGTCCCAGCACCATTTGTTGAAGAGATGACTATTTACCCATTTAATGGCCTTGGCATTCCTGTCAAAATGAATTTTCTACAGACATATAGATTTATTTCTAAACCCTCAATTCTATTTCCTTGATCTATATTTTGATCATTATGTCAATACCACCCTATTTTGATTACTGCAGTTTTTGTACTAAGTTTTGAAATCAGTAAGTGTAATTCTTAGAACTTTGTAATTCTTACAACTTTGCTTTTCTTTTTTGAGCTTGTTTTGGCTATTATGGGTTCCTGGAAATTCCATATGATTTTTAGGATCAGCTTTCCATTTATGTAAAAAAATGGGATTTTGATAGGGATTGCATTGAATTTGTAGATTGCTTTGGGTGTTATTACCATCTTAACAATTTTAAATCATCCAGTCCCTGAACATGAGATGAATTTCCATTTATTTAGATCTTTCATTTCTCTCCACAATGTTTTGTAGTTTTCAATGTATAAGTCCTGAACCTCCTTGATTAAATTTATTCCTAAGTATTTTATTTTTTTCAATGCTATTATAAGTGGCATTGTTTTCTTAATTTAATTTTTGGGTTGTTCACTGCATGTGTATAGAAATACAACTGAATTTGTATGTTGATTTTGTATCCTGCAAGTATGCTGAACTCATTATTAGCTCTAGTAGTTTTTTGTGTGTGGATTCTTTAGAATTTTCTATACATAAGATTGTATCATCTGTGAATATAGATAGTTTTACGTCTTCCTTTAGGATTTGGATGCCCTTTATTTTTCTTTACTAATTTCTGGCTAGAAATTTCTAGTATAGTGTTAAATAGAAATGCTGAATCAGACACTCTTATCTCATTGCTAACCTTAGGGGAAAAGCTTTCAGTCTTTTATCATTGAATATAATGTTAGCTGTGAGCATATATTTTAAAACCTTTTTGTATTCTAATTTTGAAATAACTGAAAATGCACAACTTAGAAACCTGGAACATTCTCTGGAAGTCCATAATCCACAGTGATGATTACTATCTATATTTTGAAAATTCATTTTCAAATGTCCTTAACATTTTTTTCCCCAAGATTATGACCTGGTAGATAATATCTGTATTACTGAAGTAGGCAGTAAAACTTATCTGTAGCATCTCAGGTAATTAGAGTTGTCTTAGTTAAGATTGATCTTGGAACAAAACATTTTGAAATGTACTATCATTGGGAATGTGGTTGATTATTTTCAATATGTGCTTTTTGTTTTAAATTACAGATTAGTTTTGTCCTGTATCCCCCCAGTGGAGGTCCTGGATGGGATTCAGTGGATCACAACAACATTATGTTTCTCAGCCTATGCTTTTGTTGGCATTACGCATTAAACCTTATCATTGTTGGAGTGATTTATGCCTTTGTTACTTGGTAAGTTAGTGTCTTTTTTGTTCATGGAACTTCTGTTCCTTGGTATGTGATCAATGAGACTCAAAAGTATTGAACTTAAATTCAAAGGGGGACTTCATTCTTTAGTATTCCACAAGACAGGATAATGTAGTGGAAAATTATCTGCAAACCCAGAAATTCCTCCTTGAAAGAATAATTGCTGATTTAAAGTTAGGCTTGCTCAACAGTGTCTCAGCTGTGTCTCTGACCTATGACCTGTGTGTCTCCCTTCAACACGTTTCTGTGCCTTTGTGTCTTTGCATATTCTGTTTCCTTTTCCAAATGGTCCTCTCCACACCTGCAGTGAGCCCTCCATTTGCCCATATGTACGTCAATCTTCGCAATTCACATTGCATTGGTGTCACATTTTGATCAGTATTTATGTCCCATTAAATTTGAGTATGTGATTAATTTGACATTTACTCTAATATTTCTAAAAGTAAGATTCAGTTGAACAATCATGTTTCTAGAAAGACTATGATACAGTGTTTCATGATGAACAAAGAGCGATATAACAGACAGATTGATAAAACATATACTCCTAGCTCTCCTACCTATCAACTCCTATTTGACTTTGGGCAAATTATGTAGACATATTAAGTCTCAGTTTTGTTGCTTGCAAAATGAGAATAATAATAGTACCTAAATAAGAAATGTATTTAAACTGCTTAGGACTTAATAAGGGTGCTGTGGACACTGTTCTTTTTGTGTTATTTTTCTTGTTCTCCTCCTCCTTCTTCTGTATCAAAAAATGCATAAAGTATAGACCCAATTGGGAGAGATAAACGATTTAGATACAGTGAAGTTGGTGGAAATAGTAGAACAAAGCACTATGGGAGCCCAGAGGACGCTTCCTCACAATTGAGAATTAAGCTTCATCTTGAAGAATGAGAAAGAATAGAAAGAGTTGAACATGATTCCTGTCTTTAAGATAGCTGATAACAAATCACAATAGGTCTGGTTGATCCCAACTACTAGGCATGCAGACTCCACACTTAATTCTTCAGACTTCAGCACTGATCTAAATGTTCTATATCAGCAGTTTTCATTTTGGTAGCCATGAGCTACTTGATTATGTGGTTATTGAATACATTGTGCCTAGTGCCACATTAATTCAAATTACTTTAAGTATCTGTATATGTATAGTGACTACCATATTGGACAGTATACATCTGGTAGGTTCTCTAGATTCCTAAAATAGCTGCTTTGAGGCCCAGTGGGGTCTCAGCTTCTTCAAAAACTAGCTTTCTACTCTTCTCTCCCAGGTCACTTCTTCTTATTTGTGCTTTGAGCTTCACTGCTGAAGCAGCTTTGGTGCTGGGTCTCTAGTAAGGGAACTATTTCCTTGTCTAACTACCAGATGTATCTGCTAGATGTCCCTGGAGCAAGCTAGGCTACAGGTCAGCTCATTTTGATCTGTAGTTATCTCCTTCTAGAGGCCTAAGTTCTTTGGGTACTGGGAGATTCTAGCTTCTCACTGAGTGATTTCTATTGGTCTTACTCCATTCCCCCAAAACATGCCCCTGGCTTTTAAGACTAGCTCTGCCATTGAGTAAAACTTTGCTTCTTCCTCTGTTGTTCTAGGCTGACATCTGGGCCTCATCCCCATAGGGGCTGGGCAGCCTCCAAGAATAATGGCAACATTCAAGGAGCCTTTCTAGCTCATGTCAGCTCTCTTCCATGGCCAAAAGAAGACTACTGTCTCTTCCTGTTTCAAAAGGCTTCAGACCCCCCTTATCCACTTACAGTTTTCTAGAAACCAGAAACTCCATATTTATTTTTTCAATACCCCCCACCACCAGACACCTTTATCATTTGTGAACACTTAGTCCCCTCTACCTGGCATATCCAAATCAAATGCCATCTCTTCTGTGAAAACTTCTGTGATAATTCTAGCCCTCATCTCCCTTTGTGAGTTTGTGTAGTACTTTAGTTGCTACTACTCATTTTAGCAAATGTGATCTATCTTCACTATTAGCTCATGTCAGTCTTACCTACTAGCTAGATTGTATCACTTTAAGGAAAAGATCCTTTTCATATTTTGCATGGCTGTTGGCACGCCATCAAACATATAGTAGATACTCTTTAAATACTTACTTGCTACTTTAACAGATCTGCTCAGAGCTATGTGAATATGGACTTTATTTGTTTGGAAATCATGTTTCAGATGCTTTTCAGTTTTTCTCTCATGTTGCTCTTGGAAATGTAAGACCAAGAGCTCATGTTGTGAGGTATGTTGATATAAACTTGAGCAATAATTTACAAAATACCATGAAGATTCAGTACTGACTTTCAGTGAGATCACATGGCAGGCTAATTCACTCCTATAATTATAAGGAGTTTTGACAATCTACTTTTCAGAGTTTGACTGTGAAGTGGATTGTTCCTCAGTCACAAGTGATGGATTTTCAGGACATTATATCAGAATTTGTTTGACAAGTGCAGAGATCGCCATGGAAGCAAAATTGTTTTATGGGACCACAACCCAAATTCTCAGAAAAATGAAGTTGTACTTCCCAGTTTTCTAGAATAATGGTTCAAAGGTTGCCTCATTCATCCCTATAACCTGCAGTCCTGAATATGACAACTCATAGGAGAGACCTGTTTGGAATTTTATTAGATGTTCTATTGTTTTTCATATTTTAAACAACACTGTTTCACAGAACTATTTCAAAAGTCCCTCTCTATGGGTAGAGAAATATTGCTCAATTTCAGGTTGGTTTCCTAAGCAATAATTCAGGTGAGCCATTTCAAAGAACAAAACAGAGATGACCAAATTCCAGGCATATTACAGTTTGCCTTCTGGAAGTTTGATTTCCAGATAGACTCTAGAAGTACACCCAGAGTCTCACCTCTGCTCTTTCTCTTATTAAAAAAAATTTTTTTAATGTTTACTTATTTCTGAGAGAGAGAGCAAGTGAGCGAGCGAGCATGAGGTGGGAGAGGAGCAGAGAGAGAGGGAGACACAGAATCCAAAGCAAGTTCCAGGCTCTGAGCTGTCAGTACAGAGTCCAACTTGGGGCTTGAACTCACAAACCATGAGATCATGACCTAAGCTGAACTTAGACTCTTAACCCCTCTGCTCTTTCTCTTATTAATTGCAGACTATCTATGGGAGCAAAAGCTCAGACACATCCTTACCTTAGTACTTTAGTTTCTAAATAATTGCAGGAACTAGCAATATTTGCACTTTCTCTTTAGCCTTCCAGCTTTTAACCTGTCTCTAGTGGCCATTTATGCATATGCCAATACATAGGGCTATAGGATACAGATAGAGCCTGAACATGCTTGAGCTTCGTGACTGTTGTAACAGCAAATACAACCCAGAAAGGAGGAGTGTGAAACAGGAAGAGTCACTAGGGTCTGTGTTAACAATTAATTTGTAATAAGTAGCCATGTCTTTGTTTTATTTTTCACAAGAGCCATCAGGAATAAATCTAATTAATGAATTAACAATCCATTTCATTTACATGTACTGAGGTTGTGCAATGTAGAGATGACAGTGTGGATTTAGAAAATGACACAAACACTTTTCCAAACTTTAACTTATTTAAGACTATTAGTCTTTCATGAGAATAGTGCTTTAAAGAGCCTAGGACATTGGGAGCAACATCAATGGTCAATTAATAATCATAGTAAATTATTTTGATTGGCTTCTTTGGCTCTTGATGAGTGAATAGTTTTTGTTACTATGACTTGCTTGTTGTATTTTGGAGGAGTAAATGCTGGGCTGAACATGACTGGAGAATTAACCTCTATGAATAAATGAGTGATATGAACTCCTAGCAGATTGTTCCAAGGGCCATTGATTCACCAAATGTGTGTTGAGCCACTGTTATGTACTAGACTCTAGCTAGTAGTAGGGCACTAAATAAGGTGAGGTCTTTGCTCTTATGAAGCTTATATTTTAGTGAGACCCAGAGCACAACTAAAGTCATTGCATGTTTATAGGGGTAGGCCAGACCTTCACTGGAAGAAGAAGATAGGCAGAAAATAAGGGTAAAGATGCAAATAGGTTGGTGAAGTTTATCACAAAATGATAATGATTTTGATGAGTTGGTGTATCACATTTGTGCATCCCCATGTATTTTTGGAACTTAACTATGTTTTATTGATTTGGTTATAGGACAGTGTCTTTATAAATAATCATGCACAGGGAAAGCTTTGCTTAGTCCTTATTACATCAGAGAAGTGGAGAGTCTGCCACTAAGAACCTTTATATCTCCCAATGTCAAAAATTATATTGCTGCTTCCCTCAGACTCACAGATTTCTTAATCTATTAAAACAATCACAATGGTGGAGGGCACTTTTCCAACTTCTTAGTTCATCATGGATCACTACATGGACCATCACATGCAGTTGAACAGTCTGTGGCCTGCACAAGAGCACCCTTCTGAAGGCACAAGTTGGGACAGATTTGACATGGGACTTCACATGGGGAAGGTGCATGCCTTCATGCACCTCCTTTATAGGAGAGGGCTCCTTTTTGTAATACATAGCAAGGTGTGGACTTGATGGAAAAGCTCTCAGCTGAGCTTGGTTTCATCTGGGCTTGCTGCTGCAGTCCAGAGATTCTCTTGTTTCTTTCAGAAATGATCAAAACTATGGATAATTTGGCATTTTCTGACAACTAATTCAACCTTCATGTTATACATGATATAAGCTGTATTTTATCTCTTTATTTATACACTGCTTTAATCCACAAAAAGTTTTCAGGTAGCTCAAAAGCCAAATAAAAGTGATTTTTTGGGAGGGTTGCCTCTCCCATTTGTACAGATAATTTGGAGTTTGTTGTATAGACATTGCTCTGGGCTTTTACATAACATGAGATGCCTTTCACTCTCCTTAGGTTGGTTAAATCTCGACTTAAGAGGTTCTGCTCCTCAGAAGTTGGACTCCTGAAAAATACTGAACGAGAACAAGAATCAGAAGAAGAGATGTGATTTTTGAGGGGCATCTAGTCTTTCTGGATGAACTTTTCTTTTTTGGAATATTTTTGTTCATGGCTTGTTTTTTGACCTTTTGCTTGGAGAACAGGTGGCTGAGGATGATTCTTGGTGTATTGTTTGTATTTCCAGTTTGGTTTAAGTATTTGAATTCAAATATTCTGTTTTTAGATTTGTAAGTACTTTGGATGATAAATGCATTTTGCACATCAGTCATGGTATTTGGGGCCTGGAGTGACTGTTTCCAGATGATCTGAAGGCTGATTCCCATGGTAAGAAAAACGTTTTATTTACCTTATAGATATGCTCAAGGTTCCTGGGCTTGCTCTCATTTGTAATCCATTAAACATGGAATTACATTTGTTTATCTTGTTGCAATGAGAAATAAAGGAATACAGGAAACTTGGTTCAGATACCTCAAGTGTTTGTTTTTTTAATTCAACTGCACCTCATTCTTGTATCATGAAGAAGGAATTGTGTGACAAATTCCTTTTTGTGAGAAATCTCCTTCTGTAACACCTGAGTTCTGCCCTGGGAAAAGTAAGCCAGAAGTCATCCTGAGTTGTGCGGTCTTTTAGAGAAGACGAGAAATGATCCCTAGAACACATGGAATGCAAAACCGTGAGAGACTGGGAAAGGGGAGTTATGGTGTCTTCTATAGAGTAAAATGTCATCACACAGTATAGCATGACCACCATATCATCCCTTCTACTGAAAATAGTAGAGGGGTTAAAATAAGGGAAAGCATTTTATGGAATACCTGGGTAAACAGTCAGAGCTCTTACCTAGTCTTGAACTAAGCAGCCCTTTGTGGAGAGTCAAGAAATCTCATTTCTAATTCTGGTTCTAAGACTAATCTGCCTCTAGGGCTTTAGAAATCACCATGTCCTCTTTAAAGTAAGGAAATTGAATAGGATGAGTCATGGGGCAATTTCTAACCGTCACATTTTATGAATCTACAATCTCTGAGACAAAGTGAAGCTGGAAGCAGCTGATTTAGTACTATGTTAGTTGGAAAGGCCAGTCTCTGCCATGACAGAAAAGACAGAAAAGGTAAGGAGGCCTTCAGGGATCCTTGAGAGCTGACTTGAATATGAAAGAGAGAGGCAGCCTGTGGGTAGCTGGAGGTGAAATGAAATCCTGAAGCTCCATGGCATCCCAGAAAGTGCAGACAAATCCAGAAGCCTGTCCCATTTGCTATTATCACAGTGCACTGGGAAGGACATAAGTGGATTTTTTATGCCAGAGAACTGGACACCTCCATTAAAAAAATTTTTTTTTAATGTTTATGTTTGAGAGAGAGAGACAGAGTATGAGTGGGCAAGGTGGAGAGAGAGAGAGGGAGAATCTGAAGCAGGCTCCAGGCTCCAAGCTGTCAGCACAGAGCGCAATTGGGGTTTGAGCTCCTAAGCTGTGAGATCATGACCTGAGCCGAAGTCAGATGCTTAACTGACTGAGCCACCCAGGTGCCCGGATACAGCTCCATTTTTTTATGTAAGGGTTGAAAACAACTGATGTGGGTGCTTGAGGGCTTATTTTGAATAATACAATAAACCTGAGTGTACTTCTGGCATATGAAATGCCCATATACCTGTGATGTCCTCACGTGATCATGGCATTCTGCCTCATGCATATCCTCTATCTTTTCTAGTCCAGTAGGTTTCTATAACTTTGGAAAGTTTGTGTTTCAAAAGAGCTGTCAGCTGCTGTTCATGAAAATGGCATTGCTGGTATGTAGGCCTGAGCAGGAATGCTTGGAATACTTAGCCTAAACCAGATTAAGATTGGAATATTGAAAACTGATAAGTGCAATATTCTAGCAGTCTTTTTGAGAGAGCAGAAATGTCTGTTCCTTCAGTCTCTGGACAGAGAGAATGCAAGTGAGATGCTACTCAGTGAGTTCTCGAGAAGGGTGGTGCAGAGGGGTACGAAGGAGGGGGAGGGAACATTTGGTTCAGATCTAAGTCCACAGTCTAAGGCTATCTGCTTCTAGGGCCTGAAGTGAATGATAATTTTTTTAATGTTTATTTATTTTTGAGAGAGAGAGAGAGATAGACAGACAGAGTGCAAGCTAAGGAGGGGCAGAGAGAGAGGGAGACACAGAATCCAAACAGGCTCCAGGCTCTGAGCTGCCAGCACAGAGCCCAATGCAGGGCTGGAACCCACAGACTATGAGATCACGACCTGAGTGGAAGTCTGACATTCAATTGACTGAGCCACCAAGGCACCCCTATAAATTTGAACACCATTATTGTAACTTCATGGAAGTCTTCACCAAGGAAGGGTTGGGAGAGGGCACCTTCCCTTATTTTTATTTGTATTTTATCTCAGCTCTTCCAAAACCCTGGAGTCTCCATTCCTGAGCTTTTGCCAAACCTCCTTTGTAGGTATCCCAGGCTTCATTTGCCATGAGTAAAGTAACTCCTTAAATAACTCAGCCCAGTACCAACACTGTCTGTTGATGTTACACCAACTCTTCAGTGATTTCTGCTACCTTCAATCTCCCTTGCTTGGGAAACAGTCAGTGCAGCCTCTGCATTAACTTCCAGCAACTTGTTGAAATGGGAGGTTGGGTCCTGACCATCTTGGTGTACTCCTCATTTTGTCACTACAGGGCTCATTAATTGAGCCTATATTGGTTGAGTTTGAGACGTGGATTCATAAGGTGGTGCAGGAGTCACTGGGGACTACACGAACAATGAAAATAAAAACATAAGGAATTGACATGAGACATAAGGAATTCTCCCAAAATACAAGGAGTCGATAGATTGAAAACCATGAAAGAAAAGTTCACACACATGGAGAATTGATCCAGAAATCAATTCTGGACTAGATGGGTGATGAGCATTAAGGAGGACACTTGGGATGATCACTGCTTGTTATATGTCAATGATGAATCACTGGGTTCTACGCTCAAAACCGATACTTATGTATATTAACTGACTTGAATTTAAATCAATAAATT